AATTAATAATTTTATAATTGTATTAAATATTGGTGTTATTTGTGAAATTTATAACTGAAAAGCTTCATAAATGAGATTTTTTACTTTATATATGAAAATTGTTATGGATTTATACTATGGTTTTTTTTTTTTTTATAGTTTTTAAAAAATAATCTAAAAAAACTATTAAATGTACATATATTTAAAAATACTACACAGTCATAATCATTTATGAGGATGATATATAAGCCTGAAAAATTCAAATTAACCAGAACTTACATCTTCAAGGATCATTGGTGAAATAGATTTAAAAATTTCAGGTGAGAAAATCGAGGATTAGTGAAAGAATGAGGAAACTTCGAGACCTTTTTCCGGACCTGGACAAGGTAGTTCAGTTCTGAGTCCAAAGCTCGCACTCAATACACGTTCGTTCGTTGGTTCACTTAATTTTAACTATAGTCTAGAGGAAGTCGCGTTTTACATTAATTATTCTATTTCTGCAGCAAACAAACACAGCAGATATGTTAGATATGGCAGTTGAGTACATTAAAGATCTTCAAAAGATGCTACCTTGAAAAAGTTTCACATGCAGACTCTCATCTTTTCTTATCAGTTTTCATGATTTCCATGCAGGCATTCACGGATAATAAAGCTAAGTGCAGGAGTTCAAGTAACAGAAACATTACTCAATTGTTTCTGCCTGAGCTGTGTTTTTTGCAGAAAAGATGGTCTCGTGTCTCAATTGCCTTGTTGCATAGCATACAGGCATCATTGATTTGAGCAAACCACTTCTTTCTCTTGGAGCGTGTGGACAATCTATCGAGTAAAGCTAGCCAAGTCACAAACTATGTTTTGGTATAGAGTTTGCAAACCACACAAGTCTGAACCAATCTACCATTTGTTGTTTATGTTGAAGACATTCCCATGTAGACTTTGTTATAAAGGAGCTAGAGGAGGAGGTTAACCAAATAACACTATCTACCTTGCCTTTAATTGGGTACAATGCCCCACATAACACTATTTGAACCTACAAGAGAAAAGGAGACCTTGCTGGTGGCCATTTCCAATAGTTTCCTTGCACTACAAAAGAAAGTTTAGCCTAAAGAGGCAAAGCAACTGCTCTAACAATATCAAAACATAGGTTTTTATTAGAGGTTTGTGAGGATGCCAATCATGAAAACACAAATATATGCTTTCACCATTACCCACCTGATGCTTAATAAAAGGCCTAACAACACTTCTTAACTGTAGTATCTTCCTCTAGCTCCAAGAAGCATCATTAGGAACTTTCAAGGACCAAAAACTCCTACCTCTTAATTGATATGCCTTAATCCAGGTAACCCAAATTGAGCTAGCCTTAGTAAAAGGCATCCATATGAATCTTGAAACACATGCTCTATTCCAATCATAAAGAAATTTGAGTCCTAATCCACCTTTAAGCTTAAGATGACAAACCTTTTCCCACAGTATCTTTGCACCCTTGCATCACTAGCCTTATCCTTCCATGGTTCTTTACCCTTCCATAGAAAAGAACTACATAGTTTTTCAACCTCTGTTATAGTTCTCTTTGGCAGAATAGAAATAAAACTCTAAAAATAATATATTATATTATAAATTTATAATATTTTATAATGTGACATTATGAGTATAATATTTTTAAATTTTATTTGAAACAAATGAGATGAAAGAATAATTACTGCTTATCAAAAAACAAATAAGTGGAAGACCACCCTCAAATTCACTCAAATATTCCTGTAGGTGAAATTCTTTATTTCAATACAAGCATTATTCGTCCTAAACGTCAAAATACAACCCCTAAAATACTTTATTTTTCAAAAAGAAAACAACAGAACCAACCCCCCACTATCACCATCTAGGCATCTGCAAACAATAAAAGAGAAATTATTGCATGTACGAGGCTGAAATACATGCATCATCAGTAGTGCAACACATAACAATCATACCGTACTATGGCATCTTTGGTACTAGGATCAAACCAGTGTGTCCTAGCCTGAACATACCCTCTACCAAACCGGAAAAGCCCACTTCCTCCGACCACCGGCATCTCCCTTACCTCCGAGAACACCAACTCCCTCCCCACAATCGTAATCGTGCTCCCATTGTACTTCTCGTCCATAAAAGCGAAATTCATGGCCATCAACAGTCCAATTCCCTCCTGCGAAGCAAAGGAGTAAAACCCTTGAGCCTTTCCCACCATCTTGGAGCTCAGTTCCGGTCCCATTGTCAAGGGATTATCAATCATCCTAATCATCCCAAAACCTGTTAACGAATTGTTCACCGGAGCCGTGACAGCCACTGATGAGGGGTTGCGGCCACTAACTATGTCGTGCCAATAAAGGCGGAAGTGGCTGAGCTTTTCTTTCTTCATCCCAAATAGCTTCTTGTCCATGGTTCTAGCAAAGCCATCATCTCCCACCACTAAATTAATGGCAAAGAAGGAGAAAATGAAAAAGATGGTGAATTGGGTAGCCAAAATTGGGGAGATTAATCTAACCATATGGAAGAGCTCCTAGGTCTAGGCACAATAATGTGTCTCTCTAATTTATATAGGGAAAATGTTTCTAGAACAGGACTATTAGAATTGATCACCAAATTCTTGATCAAGAAAAAGACAATCACAAAAGGGTTAATGGGGTTCGAAGACATTAGTCAATTCATACAGATTTTTCAATATATTTTTTATGGAATTTGACTAGGAAGTCATGGTGATGTGGGATTCTGTTGATTGGTGGTTTTGGGAACTTTTATGGGTGTTTAAGTGGTGGATTCAATTTATAAAATCCTGAAACGAGACATCTAAGGAGAAAGTAAACCAAACACCCCATATGCTAAAACATATATAAAAAACACACGAGAGGTTTCAGTGAAGGAAATTGGATTCGGGCATGCATTAAATCAAGGGTTCAAGAGGAATGAAGCAAAAAAATTTTTGCCTAAAAAAATCAGCTGATCCGATGCAAGGAAGCTTGAATAGCAAGTTAGATGTTGTCTTGGTCAGACCGTAAACCACATTTCCTTCGAGACTAATGAAGCAAAAAGATCCAGGGTCAATACCATCAGAATAACTGGGGTAATGTTGATTGTATGGGGCCGGGGGAACTAGGAAACACGAGCAATATGGACCAAATATCTAGTGCCCATTCAATTGGTAAAAGTTTAAAGTTTTAATTTAGAAATCTTAAATTTAAATGCACCAAGAAGTAATTTGGTGTTTTTAACAATTATTAGGATGCGTTAGGGATTATTATGAGCTAATGTAATTATAACTCTAATTGTGATTGTACTGTAATATAATTATCGTTAAAAGTTATTTTAGTATTTTGTTATTTATTTTTAAAAATACTGTAAATGATATATGGTAAATTTTATTAATTATTAATTAAAATTTAAAAATTATTATATGATGTATAATTACTAAAATAAACAAAAATTACTACTTTTTAATAATTTAGATTTTTAAAATTTTTTATAATGGGTTTTCTTTTGAATTTTTTCAGAGAGTAATTCATAAAGAAGGAATAGGTTTTTAATTTCTTATGAAATCTTCAAATAAATAAGAAGTTAAATTTAAACAAAATATTATAAATTGAGGTAAAATTGAATTAAATAAAATTAGATTTTAATGGATAATTTTATAATTATATTAAATATTAAGTGTTATCTATAAAAATCACAGTTAAAAGGTTTCATGTTAAGATTTTTGACTTTATATATAAAATTATTATGGATTTAATGTGACTATTTATAGTTTTAAAAAAATCTAAAAAATTATCAAATATAAGTATTTTTAAAAGTGTTGTGCTGTTATAATTATTCATAATGATGATATAGAAGCCTGATATCTAAATTAACTAGAGCTTATCATCTTCAAGGATCATTGGTGAAATAGATTTAAAAATTTCAGGTAAGAAGATCGCGGATTAGTGAAAGAATGAGGAAACTTGAAGACCTTTTTCCGGACTTGGACAAGGTAGTTCAGTTCTGATCGACTCCAATATATGAAAAAAGATGAGTAGGATGGAGCGAGAGAGGGCTAGGGTTAGAGATAGGTTTCCGACAGCCAGGGACAGCGGCAATGGTTTCCGACGGCGGCGGCTTCCAGGATACGGTAAGCACTTCATTGGACAGGCAACAACTTACTTTTTCTATGATTTTCCGGCGAAGCATTCTGCGAAGGATCTGTGGTATAGGTTTTGGTCGTTTGGAAAAGTGGCCGATGTTTATATTCCAGAAAGGAGAGATCGGAGAGGGCGGCGTTTTGGATTTGTTCGGATGGCTGAGGTTTCAGATGTCAGGGATATGGAACGAAAGTTGAATCAAATTTGGCTAGGTTCGTATCGGTTGAAGGTCAAATTGGCAAAAAACATGAAATCCGAGAGGGAAGGGATATACAGAGGAAATCAGCAAAACCAGACAACAGCGCAATGGCTCAGACGAGATAAAAAGGTGTCTCCTGGGTTAACGTATGCACAGATTGTTACTGGGAAAATTTTGGCGTCTGATGAAGGGGAGGCGATGACCCAGGTGTTGGAGCAAGCAGTGGTGCAAAAAGTGCCAGAGAAGAGAGTTGCAGGGTTAGAACAAACAGGTGCATTGTCGAAAGAGTGGGCAGTGATACCAGTGTCAATACCTGTTCAAGCTTCAACGTCAACAGAGAGTGATGCTAACGCAAAGGCTTATGTGCCGGAGGAGCTGGTTCTGCAGTTTTCTCCCAGGGAGGATGAGATCGCATGGTTGAAGCAAAGTAGAGTGGCATTGGTTCGGTCTTTGGATTTAGTGATGAAAATTCAAAATAGGCTGGATGTGGATGGTGTAATGGTGAACGTAGCTCTGCTAGGGGGTAGACATGTGCTGTTAATGGATAATACGGAGGGTTACTTAGAGGAGTTTATTGATAAAAACAAGGAGTTGGTGGAGTTTTGGTTTGAATGGATTCAGCCAACTTCATTATATACTATGCCATCGAGAAATAGGTTGGTGTGGCTTCGTTTTAATGGTGTTCCATTGAGAGCATGGAGTGAGCGATGTTTCTCGGAATTAGCAGGTTTAATTGGTGAAGTTATACTTGTTGATGATGATACAAAATTTAAATCATTTTTGAGTGAAGGTCGGGTCTTGGTGTTGTGTGATGACTCCATGAAAATATCGCAGACAATCAATCTAATGGTGGATGGAGAGTCTTTTCTGATCAAGGTTTCAGAGGAGGAGTGGCGTATGGATCCGGACAGGTGGCTGGCCAGTGAACGGAGGAGCTCCGGCACAGGTTTGGATGTGTCCGACATGGAGTCCGAGAATTCAGAGGACCGTTACAGTGAAGGTGATGATAGAGCAGTAATGGCCGAAGATTGTGCAGAAACGGAAGCAGAATCCAAGCTGAGTTTAAAACAGAATTGTGTTCAAAATTTTGAATTAGATGGGCCAGAGCTGGATGGGCTGAGTAATGTGGGCTCGGTTGGGCCAAGGGAGTGTGAGGCGGAGGAGCTGGGTGTAGCAAATGGGTCTCGTGAGGGGCTTCGGCCTGCTGGAGTGCAACAGAAGGGAGCTGCTGTGTTGATTAAAAAATGTAAGAAATTGGGGGACATTTACGCAGGGGATGGGGTTGCGGAGGAAACGAGGGAAATGGGGTTGCAGTGGGTGACGGCAAGAACCAGATGGAGGAAGGAAAGAAGGGAAACAGTAAGACAATTGGAGCATGGAACGGAATCACAGAACATTGATTTCTCTTTGTCCGATGGATGCATCCAAAATCGCAATGCTCTGATTCGGCAGCAATTGGAGTTGGATGAGGGGATGAGGTAAGAAGGCTATTTGGGTTGGGGAAACGATTGGGGATTCAATGTCAGAATAATGAGGAAGAGGTGATTTCAAGATTGGCAGCTTTAGAAGGGCGAGATGAAGCCAATTTTAGAAGGCCCTGAAGCTTGGGTAAGGAGTTTTGTTGAAATCAGTGAGTTGTTTTTTTTCAGTATGAAGTTTATTTCTTTTAATGTTTGGGGTTTGGGTAATGGATTGAAAAGGAGGGAAATTCTTAAGTTAGTTAAGAAGGAGAATCCAGATTTTTTGTGTCTTCAAGAAACTAAGTTGGAAGTGGTCGAGGAGTCTTTGTGTCGGGCATTGTGGTATTCAGAAAATTTTGATTGGGTTATGCAGAAATCAATGGGTAACTCAGGGGGCTTGTTGTGCATTTGGAACAAGAGCTGTTTTATTAAAAAATGTGTGATAGAAGGGAGCGGGTTCATTGGGGTTTCTGGTGAATGGGGTAAGGAGAGGAAAAAATGTAATTTAATCAATGTGTATGCTCCTTGTGATAGGCAGGGGAAGGTCTTGTTGTGGGAGGAGCTTGCTGGGCGCGTTTTAGAAGAGGGTGGGTGTTGGCTGTTTGCAGGAGATTTTAATGCTGTCCGGAATGTATCAGAACGAAAGGGTAGAATGAGGGAGACGCAGGATATGCAAGATTTTAATCACTTTGTGGAAAGCACGGGGTTAATTGATGTTGGCCTGCGAAATAGAAAGTTTACATGGTATAGACCGGATGGATCGTCCATGAGTAGACTTGACAGATTTTTGATGTCTACAGAAATGAGTTTATTGGCCACGGATTGGGTTCAAGAAGGTGTGGCAAGGTCAGTCTCTGATCATTGTGCAATAATCCTGAAGGCAAGGAATACAGATTGGGGTCCAAAGCCTTTTCAGGTAATGGATGTGTGGCAACAACATCCAGATTTCAGAAGTTTTGTAGATGATAAGTGGAAAGCCATGCAAGTTGAAGGGTGGGCGGCTTATAAATGCAAACAGAAACTGAAGTTAATGAAGGATGAGTGTAAAAGGTGGAATAAGGAAGTTTTTGGTAATGTGGAGACTCGATGGGGGATATTATCCAAGGAAATTGAAGAGCTGGATATAAAAAGTGAAAAAGTTGAATTAGATGAGAATGAGGTGGTACTCCGAAGGGAGTGTTTTCAGGAGATGTGGGAAATTTTGAGAAAAAGAGAGGCCATGTGGAAGCAGAAGTCAAGAAATAATTGGATTCGTCTTGGAGATGCAAATACTGCTTTTTTCCATAGATGTGTACATGCACGGAGAGCACAAAATGCAATTTCAGGTATCTTAGGAGAGGATGGGTGGGTTGAGGAGCCAAGTAGGGTGAAAGAGGAGGCAGTGAGGTATTTTAGTCAGTTGTTTCAGAATGAACAGTGGAAGCGGCCAGTGTTGGGTGGAATCCATTTCAACAGAATCTCAGCTGCACAAAGGGAGTGGTTAGAACGGCCTTTTTCAGTGGAGGAGATTGAGGAGGGTCTACAGAGCTGTGATGGGGCGAAGGCACCAGGACCAGATGGCTACAATTTCAATTTTATAAAATTTGCCTGGAGTACTTTAAAAGAGGATTTTGTGAAGTTTTTGTGTGAATTCCACCAACATGGGAGGTTAGTAAAAGGTTTAAATTCCTCTTTTTTGGCTTTAATTCCTAAAAAGGCAAATCCAGTGCATTTTAAGGAGTATAGACCCATTAGCTTGATTGGGTGTTTATACAAACTACTGGCAAAAATACTGGCGAATCGTTTAAAATTGGTGATGACGGATATTATTAGTGATTCAAAGTCAGCTTTTGTCGGAGGTCGGCAACTGGTAGATAGTGTGCTAATCTTGAATGAAGTGGTAGATGAGGTGAAACAGAGAAAACAGGAGAGTTTTATCTTTAAGGCAGATTTTGAGAAAGCATATGATTGTGTGGATTGGAACTTTCTGGATTGGATGATGGAACAAATGGGGTTTGGAGTTAGGTGGAGAAAATGGATTCAGGAATGTCTTTCGACGACTCGGATTTCCATTTTAATAAATGGAAGCCCGACAAAGGAGTTCTCGGTTGGCAAGGGTCTTCGTCAAGGTGATCCATTGTCCCCATTTTTGTTTTTGTTAGTAGGTGAAGGGTTGTGTGGTATGGTTCGAAAAGCAGAGGCAGAAGGGCTTTTCAGCGGAGTCAAGATTGGAGAGGGTGGTATGGTCGTGTCTTTATTACAATTTGCGGATGATACTGTTTTTATGGGAAAGGCAGAGGTAGAAAACTTAAGGACAGTGAAGGCTATTCTACACTAGTTCGAATTAATTTCGGGATTGAAGATCAATTTTTGCAAGAGCCATTTGTATGGGTTTAATGTTACAGAAGGGTGGGTAAATGGTGCAGCTGACATTTTGCATTGCAAGATAGGAACGATGCCCTTTATTTACCTTGGGTTACCGGTTGGAGGAATTTCGGGAAGGAAAAAGTTTTGGGTTTCTGTATTGGATCGCTTTCGGAATAAGCTTGCCGCCTGGAAACGTTCACTGCTGTCCTTTGGAGGTCGAATTACCTTGCTCAACTCGGTACTTTCTGCTCTTCCTATTTTTTACTTGTCCTTATTTAAAATTCCAAATTGTGTTCTTGGTGAGATGGTTAAGATTCAGAGGGATTTCTTTTGGGGTGGAACAAATTTGGATAGGAAAATTGCTTGGGTAAGGTGGGATCATATTTGTGTTGATAAGGAGAGAGGGGGATTAGGAGTGGATGATTTAAAGAGGAGAAACTGGGCTTTATTGGGTAAGTGGTGGTTTAGGTTAGGTGATGGGGTAGGGGGATTATGGAAGAGGGTGATTTGGGAGAAGTATTACAGGGTCGACAGGAGGGTGATATTACTTTTTTCAGTTCTTTGCGTATGTCTCGAGTGTGGAAGGACATTGTGGGTGTTGGTAGTGGGTCGGAGAGGCTGAGTTTAATGCTAGGAAAAGGCTTTAAATGGGAGATTGGGGATGGAAGTCGAGTGGCTTTTTGGGATGCTAAGTGGGGTGGTGATAAACCTTTAAAGGATTTATTTCCGAGGTTGTATGCGTTATCATTGAACAAGGAGGGGATGTTGAAGGATATGGGTTTTTGGA